AGGGTACAAGTTGATGATGAGGATTTCTATGATGTGCTGTATGACTCGGAATATGACAGTGAAGATTCAAATGGTAATCATAATTTTTCTTAGTTGTCATTATATTTTAAAATGCTTTTGTATAGCTAAGTTCAATCTTTTGGTGGCTCTCAGCTGAAGATAATCCAAGAAATTATTATCCTGATGAGATCCCCAAAGAGAGAGACGAATTGGAGAGTTAAGTCCTCCAATGAATCAGAGGAGAAAAGAAAAGTAAGCGTGCTAGTGATAGATCTTCAAAGCTTGAAGATTTTAGATTCCATTGATCACCGGAAGATGGAGACGTAATAGCGTATGAAAATGAGACTTACGATGATTACGAAGAAGAGGTTAATGATTCTGATTATACTAACGATAATGATAACGATGATGGTGAATATTGGAGATGGTCTACAGGTAAAATATAGGACTCAATACCAAAGATTGGTCACACTACCTCATCCTCTTTTCCTTGTATTGTATTTTCCCATGTCAGTTCGAAATGAGATGCTTTTGTAATACAAGGGTATCGTTTTATCCTTTCCCAAGAATTTGTTACTTATTACATGTTGATATAAACAGGGAAATTTAATCAACTGAATTTTGACATAAATCACTATCAGTCACGAATTAAGTCATGTAAACAATGATACAAAAAAAAAAAAAAAGGTAGATGTAAATAAATCAACAAGAACAAGTGGAAACGATTTTCATTCGCCAGCTAATCCGGACCAGCAATTTCACCACCAAACTTCTTGTGCAGAATGAATTAACAGTGTCACCATAAATCAAATGACCATTATTTCTCCTTTCTTCACTTCTTTCTGAGCAAATATAATCACTTTCCTCTTATAAAATGAACTCAACTTTCCCCTCCATTTATCACGCTTTCTGCATTGTTAATGCTGTTCTCCAACTTTGGCGGACCTGAATGCCGCCTTGGCTTGGCCGGGGAATGTGGATAAGAAAGCCGTTTCTTTGCAACCCCATTTGTTCCTTTCTCTGGTGTCCCAATCCCATTTGCTTCTTCCCCCAGTGGGCTCTGTAACCTGGTCTTGGCTCTTGCGGATTTAGTGGGTACCATGTAACTTGGAACTGATGGAGAGCTTCCAAGACTCTCATCATCACGAACTGATGAGCCAATGCTGTGTCTCCTAGGTCGCTCTGACTGCATACTGACCATGCTTTTACAGTCATCATCCAGTTCCCAGCCATTGCCTCTTGGGCTAGCAGCCTTCAGCTTTCGGGCAACGCCTGAGGATGCTGGCTTTGGAGTTGATGGGGATTGGAAGCTTGGCTTCTGGCTGGGTGTTGGGGAAGATTTGGTAATTTCTCCTCCAATAATGCTGTGGCTTGCACTCTTCACAGATGAAAGGTCATTATTCAGTTCTTTTTCTAAAATGCTGCGGCCCTCCCATGGCCTGGCTGCCATCCATCTTTCCAACCAGCTCCAACCCCAGGTGGGGTTTCTTGGATCCGTGAACAATGCATTTGTAGTTTTCAAAGAATTTTTCAAATTTTGCTGCAAAAGTAATTTCATGGAAAGTCAGGACACTGAGATAGATCAAAGTAACGTTCAGCATGGTTATGTTGCCACCACAAATTCTTTCCTTCCTAAAAATGAATAGCAGCTTTGTTGATCATGCCAATAATTAAAAGCTATTTTTTACAATGATAGATATTACTGCCTCAAATATCTAAATTCTTTACTTTTCAGATCTTACCAAGCCATTATAACTCTTCAATATTATTTTACTATATTCCATCATATAATTGGACAGGTTTCTTAAGTAGAAAAAAGGAACACTAAATGGCTGGTTGGCAGCATTAAACTTTATATAATCAAACAGCATACATAAAATACAATACAAATACAATAGGTCACCTGATGAGTAAATGCATAAGCCAGAGCCCTTTCTCTTTTCATGGCTGCGTCATGCTTGCTTACTAGGCTTGCGTCAATTTGTTCCTTTGACTGCAGGCTGTCATCCCATTCTTCACCAATCTGTTCATACATCCAAAACACGATGTTCAGCATGAAAGCACAACTTGTTGCAGGTTTTCTTAGTTACTTGGAGACTAGAGCTTTATTTTTTGCTAAACAGGAGGATTGAGCTTCAGCTCACAAACTGACTCCTCAAATGCCCAACCTAATAGGCTATACAATAATAGATAGAGAGAGATAGAGACCCGCAAGTTTGCAAGCTCTTTTGCATGCTTCTGTAAAAGTTGTCTTTGAAGAGCCTGATTCGCTTCTGTCATTCTGATTCTCCTAGTATGAATCTGGCACTGCACACGAGAAAGAGTTTGCATGCATCGAAGGGTGTTAGTAGCTTGTCGTTTCACAACATTCCCTTCCATGAGTGACTTCAGCCTGAACAGCCCTCTTAAAGCACGCACTGCCCTTCTTGCCTGAAAACAACAAACTCTGATGGCAAATTCACAATATAAATTTCACAAGCAAATTAGGTACTAAAAGAAACATTTTCCTGGACCTTTAGTGATATTCTCTTCCCTTTCCCTATAACATTTACTTAAAAATGGTCTTAGTGAATGTTGGCCATCAATCTCTACAAGTCACCTAGATATATAGGTTCCAGTAACTTCAAAAACATCCTTCCTTGGTGGGGCATATTTTCTCACATCTAACCTATTAGTGGATTTACATTACAACTAGCTTAAATACCATCCAACCAACTTAACATTAAATATTCTATAATATTCTGAAGAATTAAAAAACAGACCCATCAGCAATGGACCCTAAAAGATGCTGTTCATGATTCTCCAGAAATGTAGCATATATTGGACCAAATATTTTAATTTGTTCTTGTATGGAATTTCTGCCTTTGAATCTTCCATCAGTTATAAATGGATAAACGTAGTGAATATTAAGGACCTCTAAAACACATAAATTAATCAATCAATCTTAAAAAGGTATTCCATTGGTTGGTGGCTTTAATAAATTACAATCATGAACATACACATTCTCTTCTCACAATAAACAGGATGAACGAGAACTTTGGACCATGAGTATCTTAAGATATTTGCATACCATTTACCATATAAGCAGTTTTAACTGAAATCAACTAGATTAAATAGGATAAATAATAGCCACTACCACAGTGTCATAATGAAACATGTACCTGATATCCTCGGAATGCTGTTTGAATCTTGATTGCAGCTGCTTCCTCCTTTGACTTTCCAGCAAATCGATTGACTGTTGTTGGTGGAACAACCTCAACAGCAGTCACTGCAGCCGTGATGGCAGAATCAGCGGGTGCAGAAGTAATGGTGGCATCAGTGGGTGCAGAAGTGATGGCAGCATCAGTTGGTGCAGAAGTGATGGCAGCATCAGTAGGCGCAGCATTAATGACTGCCATGGAGTAAGGTGGACCATTCTGTGCATTGACTCCATTCTCTGCTTCAGTTAGCTTCACCTCTTCTGGCTGAGGACGAGATAACTTGACAGTTTCTAAAGTGGTTGATTCAGAAGCAGTGGGTTCCAAATCCTTCTGCTTTCCAAACAAATTCTCCTTTGATTTCTAATAGCAATAAAATAAAATTTAAGTCACAGAAAACTAGAATTTCGCATGATTGTACACAAAAATAGAATTTCTCCAAACCTGAATTTTCTTTTCTTTGGACTCAGGGCTGAAGGCTTTCTTCAGACTAGACAACCATTTTCCTTTCCTCCCCATCTCCGTATAAGAGAAAGCAAAAAAATTTCATTTAGAAGTTGGAACTTCAACCATACACACTATAAAATTTGCTTCTTTGAAATGCATTAATACTAAATTGTAAATGAACATTGTTTCTAATGACAAAAATAGATGGAATGTTTAAAATGAAAACTTTCCAACTAAAAACCAAACAGTCATATATGTCACACATGGCAATAAAAGACAAAAATAAGCAACACCACTTGGTGAAAAAAATTTGTCAGCAAGGAATATAAGCTATGAATCTCAGAATCTATCATGCCTTTTGTTTGGTAGGTAAGCAAGCATAAATCTGAACTCAACTCAGCAGGTTCAACTTTTCACATTTCATTTAGTCAGAAATAATTAACACTGAGAGTCTAACACTAATTAAAGCAATTTCTTTTCCACTACCAGGGAAGAGTACACTTAGAAGGCAAGCTTGGAAAAATTTTCAATTT